GGAACTCTTAACTCCTAAACCTCCTTTAAAATCAAAGTAGATCTCTTAAGGTTGCAATTTTCAAATGGTTTTTTCTCCTTTGGTGATAGTATGCCATGCCATCAGTTTTTCTCCCAGGTATAAGAACAGTATTGTGGCAATACATTATCGTCAGCCCTTCAACAACAGTAATAGTCTTGGCACTTACCTTAAAACCACCCATCCTTTACAGTCATATTAGGGTATCATTCACATATTTTTATTTACTGTCCTACAAGTACAGTTGTTTTTACTTGCTGTTCTGCATTTTCTTCACTTGCACCATTGGTAAAATGTTAAAAGGATTTCATTGAATGTTGAAAGTATTACAAAAGGCAGCTTGCTTTTTTTAATCTATGCATCCTTGGGATTTCAGAAGAAATGTTATTCTTTGATGTAAAAGGGAACTGCTATACGAGTTGGAAACTCTGTACCTGTGTGTGTGTATATATATATTTTTTGGCAATAAAGCAGCATGGGCTGAGAATGCACTGAAACTTCACTGTGTGTCACTCATTACTTGGAAGAGGTAATTTCTAATAATGCAGATTACTAAGATGGGAGGAACCAAACCAGAGACGTAGGCTGAGGTAGGCTCCAGATGTCAGAAAAGACAAAAGACCTGGGTGTCGATAACCTATTGTAGCAGTTTCTGCTGTAGACCAAGAGGACTGGCAGCCATTTGAACAAAGAGGCATCCCATTTAAACTCTTGTCATTCCCACCTTTAGGGCTAGGTATGAACAAATGTTTAGTTTCTGGTAAGGAATTACTGAGCTAAGTACAATAATGATAAAACTATTGCAGAGAATCCTTCCTATCTGAAATACATAACACATTTAAAATGCTTTTACATTGAGTATTTAAACATTAGCTACCTTAACTAAAGAGGCTTAACACTGTAAGAAGAGATGCTTCTTAATTTAGGGGAAAGTGTTTTCAAGTTTAAAGAAAGTAGGGGTTCCTGGGTGGCTAGGTTGGTTAAGATTCAGACTTTTGCTCGGGTCATGATCTCACAGCTTGTGAGTTCAAGCATCATGTCAGGCTCTGTGCTGACAGCTCAGAGCCTGGAGCCTGCTTCGGATTCTGTGTCTCCCTCTCTCTCTGCCCCTCCCCTACTCGCATTCTGTCTCTCTCAAAAATTAATTAAAAAAACATTAAAAAATTTAAAAAGTAGATGTTACAAACTTCCTTGGGATTGGCTCTTGTCAAATGGAGAGGAACAAAAGCTATGTGGCTTTTGAGGTACGATTACTTAATGTAATCATTCTTTTGATTTTTCACTAGCACACTGATATATAGTGATATACTCCATTCCCAGGTACTGTACTAGATGTTGGGATTACAAAAATGGAAATAGTTTCTGTTAACTCAGGAGCTTAAATGCTTACAACTCAGGAGGAACTTTAGTATGTAGTTTTATTCTCATGACTATATGGAATTCTGAAAATACTTTTATTCAATATATATACAATGCTCAGTAACAAACTGTAGCAAAGTAGCCTTAGAATCTGTTAATATCAGTCATTGATGTTTGTTAGACTTTCATAGGGACTCATACCACCTAAAAGTATCATTTAAAAGGGTTGTTTAAAAATTCAGCCATTTGGGAGTATCAACTAGTGTATGGAAGGCATAATATCAAAATTATAAATGCATATGCCCTTTGGCCCATTTTAGTAATCACTCCTACAGAAATACCAGTACAACTATGCAAAGATATATACAAGGATCCAATATAAGAAATGGTTAGATTCTGATATATTCATATCATTGAATCATGCAGATGCTAAATAATTTGCATATGGGCTGGTATGGAAAGTTGAGAAAAGCAGATGGTAGAATAATGTGAAAGATATAACTGCCTTTATGTCTATATATGTATATCCACATGCATAAAGATTATTGAACACTTAGTATGTGCTAAGCACTGCTGTAATTACATTAGATGTATTCATTAATTCATTTACTCTTCACTACAACCGTAGTTTCTTGGTTTTTTTAATTTATTTTGAGAGAGAGCACAAGGGAGGGGCAGAGAAAGAGAATCCCAAGCAGGCTCCGCATGGTCAGTGCAGAGCCTGAGGCAGAGCTTGAACTCACAAACCGAGATCATGACCTGAGCTGAAATAAAGAGTAGGATGCTTAAGCAACTGAGCCACCCAAGTGCCCCCAGCCCTAGTTTTTGGTTTTTTTTTTTAACAGAACAAGCCTTTTGATTTAAACAATTTTTTTCAAGTTTATATTGAAAGACAAAGAGGAGGAAGCAGGAGAGAGAGAATCCCAAGCAGGCTGCATGCTGCCAGCACAGAGCCCGATGTGGGGCCTGAGCCCACAAACCATGAGATGATGACCTTGAGAGCCAGACGCCCCAGACCAAAAAACTTCATTTTTGCATTTAGCTTTCTGACTCTGTGCTTGTGCCTTCAACATTTTCACAATGATTTTCTGCTCTTTAATAAGGAAAGCATGCTTGATCCTATCACAAACACACTTAGCACATGTGGAACGACCCTAGGCCCTGCTGTTTTCTCCTTGTAGACAACCTCATAAGAACTGTAGGTCTCACAGCATGAACTCCTTGAAGCCAGCCTGAGCACACACACCACACGCTGATTCTGATGCTTTCCCAATCTCCTTGGTGTAACAGTAAATTATTCTATTCCAGGGGTTTGGGACACCTTAAGTTTTGTTAGAGGCTGTATTATAGGACAGCATAAGATGGGATGTCAAATGCTGGACCATTGTGAATGCCTATGATGCCATCTCCAGAAGAGGGAAAAACCAGCCCTAGTTTTTAATCCCTATTTTATAAGAAGAGCTTATGTAAATTCTTTACATTTATGGCTAGAAGTATCCAAAATATCACTAGAAGTATCACTATCCTATTGTGATAGGAATCCAAATAGTTTGGTTCCAGAGCATGCTCACTTTCTAGCTTGCTATCCCATGCTTTTCAAAGGTGGAAAGGAAGTGTAGTTTTCACTCTTTGTCACACATCTATGTTTGAACTTTTTTCTAGAATAAGCACATAATTTGTATTTGGGGGAAAAAACCTATTTAAAACCAGCCAGCTTAATTTGACGTAAAGTTCGAGCATTTAAATTTCTATTTGTCTGCCAAATCAGCAAATCCAGAGGTTATGGAAAATAGCTACGTAAGAACATACCCACACACACACACACACACAACAGGATAATTCAATACAGTATTAATTTCTTATGTCTCATTCTTGAGTAGAAAATAAGAGTTTTTCTGGTACTATTTGTTGCCAGAGGTTTCACCCTTGTTTATGGAATCAGATTTTGCAACTCAAAAGCATAAAGCAAGTCAGAATTTTGTTTAAAATTTTTAATTTTTAGAGCGAGAGGGTGCAAACAGGGCAGGGGCAGGAGAGAGAGAGAGAGAGAGAGAGAGAGAGAGAGAGAGAGAGAGAGAATTTTAAGCAGGCTCCATGCTTAGTGTGGAACCAGATACAGGGCTTGATCCCACAGCTCTAGATCATGACCTGAGCCGAAATCAAGAGTTGGACACTCAACCCAACTGAGCCACCCAGGCATCCCAAATTTAAAATACTTTTAAAGGGAAATGTCCTTTATGTAGTATAAAATGGAAAAAAAAATTTTTTTTAAATGCTGCTAGCTACAGCTGAACCAAGTTAACCTGGCTATATCATGTCTCAATTGTGCTCTTGCCAGTCCCTCAGTGGTCTGCTTGCTGAGCCTATAACCCATGCTCCACAAGACAACCATAGTAAGGTTCTACAAAAGTAAAACCAATCCTATCACAGGCCTCCTCTAAAATTCTTCAAGGGCTTCCACTGTTCTTGTGATAACAACCACCATCCTTCAGGAGGACAGTAAGTCCTCGCACCGCTGGTTTCTAACCACTGGTGTAACTCCTGCAGGCCTTCTTTTATGGACCTTATAGGGCCTTTGCACATGTTTCTCCCTCCATTACCTTATTAACTCCTACTCTCTAAAACCACTGCTGAAATGTCACTTCCTCAGGGAGGTCTTTCTTGACCTCCAGACCAGGTCCGTTACATGCTGTATGTGCTTGTAGCTCTATGTCCCTTTTCTTCAAAATCCTTACTACACTAGTAATTTCACATGTATTCATGTGGTTATTTGAATGTCCATCTCTGTTGAGACAATAAGCTCTGTGCAGGTAGAGAGTGGCTGTTTTTTGCCTGTTATCCCCAGAAGCTAGTATAATATCTTTATTGAATAATATGATAAGCTACTGAGCCCATGTGCTACATAAAGCAAAATATGAAAAAACAGCATTTTGGTGAATGATGTTTATCATTGCTTTATTACCTGGTTAAGCTCAGTTTACAAATGAAAAGAGAAAGATAAATTGTATATTTTCCAGTTAACTTATTGAATATTACCTATAAAATATGTATGAACCTGTATTTTACATAAGAAAAAAAGTGGCTTCTCAGTCTTTACCTAACAACTGCACATCTTTATATCAGGGCATTCACGGGACATTGTCTCCCCATCAACCTAAATTTGCAGCAAAAGAGGGTTTCAGAAATAAACATTTATGAAATTTACAAGCTAAAATAAGTTCTTAAGACAAATAGCTATAAAACCTAGACAGGGTGGGCCAGGGAGACTCAGTTGGTTAAGTGTCTGACTCTTGATTTCGGCTCAGGTCATGATATCACAGTTGTGGGAGCCAGCCCCATGCCAGGCTCTGCGTTGACAGCACAGTGTGGAACCTGCTTGGGATTCTCTGTCTCTGCTCCTCTCCCGCTCATGCTTTGCTCACTCAAAATATATAAACATTACAAAAGCTAGACAGAAGGCTCTTTAGTTTCTCATCTTCTAGAACAGGCTTCACAAATCATCTCGACAATCGGCCTAGACAAAATCCTAATAAACCACATTTCTCATCCATTCTTGAAGCCAATCTTTCTTGCGAATTGATCAAACAGCACCTGTTGTTGAAGATAACAACAAGGACTCACCCTGATACTTTAAAAAAATATATTTATTTATTAATTTATTTATTTACCGACCCTAATACTTAAACTCTGATTCTGGATCAGTTTTCTGGCTTGGGCTGGTCAGGAGTTACTTCCTTCAGAATCTTCATCAGTGAATTTAAGTGAGTATGAGTTAACATTATCTTCTCTTTCAGCTAGGAAAAAAAATAAATAGGTATCAGGGCATCTTAAGCTTAACACTCAATTTGGTGATTCTAAAAGCCATTTCAAATTTAAACTAGTGATTGGGAGTTGGCGATGTCTCAACATATTTCATAAATATGTTTCTTCTATGTCTGAAAGAACTTTATGGTACAAACTCAGAGCACAATGAGATCCTTAGATACAAAGTTCATGTGAAAAAAGACCAGCCATTGCTGAGTGTCACTGCTTCAGTCTCTCTCCTGTCTACCTCTTATCACCAGGTTTAAACTCCAAATACTGGAAAGGAAGACAAGAATAAGGTGGAGTAAGAAAGCTTACGGAGAGAAGCATCAACTAGTCTTCCTTTCCTTTCCTAGTGGCAAGAATCTAACTTTTTTCCTTTGTTTCCGGTAACAAATGCTTTTGTTTGATATTCTGCCAATGGTCTTCAAAAGTAGCCCTGTTAAGGGGCGCCTGGGTGGCGCAGTCGGTTAAGCGTCCGACTTCAGCCAGGTCACGATCTCGCGGTCCGTGGGTTCGAGCCCCGCGTCAGGCTCTGGGCTGATGGCTCAGAGCCTGGAGCCTGTTTCCGATTCTGTGTCTCCCTCTCTCTCTGCCCCTCGCCCGTTCATGCTCTGTCTCTCTCTGTCCCAAAAATAAATAAACGTTGAAAAAAAAAATTTTTTTTTTAAAAAGTAGCCCTGTTAAGAACATATGTTTGGTGTAATTAGACAATTTTCAATAGTTCTTTCACCTATGAATAGCTATATCTAGAACCAAACTTTGTGGTATTATTCAGCATAAAATATGAAATACAGAATTACGGAGGATTATCTGTTGAAGTTGGGTTAGCAAAAGTCTTATTTCTGACATAATTTGCACCATACACTAAATCTCATTTTTATCATCCAAGATACAAAAACAATCAAAATTCATCAGGAACTATGACTTAAACAAGTAACTCTAGAGCCTCTCCTTTGTTTGGGGATACCCTTGGATTGGTGAATCATTTCTCTACTGCTGCTTTCAAGATTTTTTTTTTTTGTCCACATTTTTACTATGATATGTTGGGGTATAAATAAATCTCTTCTGTGTTTATCCTACCTGGGGCTCATTGAGGTCTTGGATATGGAAATTTATGTTTTTCATCAAATTTGGGAATTTTTCAACTATTTCCTGGGACATTTTTTCTACTTCTTTCTCTTTTCTTCTGCTATTTAGTCCCTTTACCAAAGAATTTTTAGGTATGCATGTTGTTTTTTTTAGAAAATGCTATTGTACACTTAGGTAAACTACAGTTTGGTATAAGCATAACTTTTATATGCACTGGAAAACCAAAATATTAATCTGACTTGCTTTGTATTATGGTATTTGTTTTATTCTGGTGGTCTAGAACTGAACCCACAATATTTCTGAGGTATGCCTGTATTATAGTAAATATACAACCATCATGAAATTTTACCTCTGCAATCTTTTCTGGTAGAGATAAGTTGTGAATATCCATCTCAGATGCATTTACTATGGCCTTTGTTTTTAAGAGATAGCTGGATAGAAAATATATAAAGAAAATATTAGTATCATACTACAGATAAGATTATTAGTGAACCAAACTTGCCCTCTAAAATAACATGTCAGGCAAGGACCGCCTTCTTACAGATTTCCATTTCAGCATTCATAATGTGTCTTTTAGGAAAAACAAATCCTCAACTAAGAAATCAGAGAGATTGTGTGTTTTATCTCACCCCTTGCCAGCCAGGAGACAAAATAACGCCACAACAAACTAAAGACAAAAACCAGGGTCCTATGAGGAATTCTGATGAGTATAAGCTTCACAGTCCACCAGTAGATCGTGTAGCAGTTAGAAGAAAAGTAATCATATTGTGACAACACTGTTGGTTGCCTATCCAGTAGCCATTCCTAACTTGTTTTTGGCTAACAGAACCCAGATTTCATTTAGGGCAGGAGTATGCCCAATAGTAGGAGATGAATAATAACTGCTCTGAGCCAAGTGTGCAATCTTACTCTCCACTGTCACATATTTGCTCTCCTGCCTTAAGGCAATCATGGGACATAGTTTGGCCAATAATAAGGAAATTTTTGCTAAAGAGACCATTCACTGTGTTCCCATTTCCCATATCCTTTTCCTTCCAGTTGGGGATGCTATTGTCTATGAATGTAATGCTTATAACTGTCACAGCCTACAAGAAGAAAACCAGAGATGCTCACCCAGAGCTCTATTGTGGCTAAGCCACTAGAAGACTCCTGGGGTGGCCAACCACCCCCACCCTTACTTGTTAAAGCCACCATCAGTCAGGTTTAATTTTTCCTAGCAACCAAATTCATTCTGACACACAAAGACATAGATTTATTATCTTTCCAGACTCGTGCTACCTATACTTTCCTAATTTCTACTTAATCAGAAAGAATATACTGACCTTTGAGTCCCAACTCCTTATTTTAAAGAAATTACTTAAAATCCTATTATACTTTTAAAATTTACATTAAAAATTTTTGTTACTAAAAACTTAACTTCCTTGTGCAAAAACTCAATTACAGCTCACCTGGAACTACTACTTATAACTTTCTGAAGAAGACTTGAGGTTACTAATAGCACACAGTTAGAAATAACTTTTCACCCTCTTTAAACTTAGGCTTATTTGGGGTGCCTGGGTGGCTCAGTAGGTTAAGGGTCTAACTTTGGCTCAGGTCATGATCTCGCGGTCTGGGGGGTTCAAGTCCCGTGTTGGGCTCTGTGCTGACAGCTCAGAGCCTAGAGCCTGCTCCAGATTCCGTGTCTCCCTGTCTCCCTGCCCCTCCCCAACTTGTGTTCTGTCTCTCTCTCTCTCTTTCAAAAACAAATAAACATTAAAAAAAATTTTTTTAAAGAATATTTAAGAAATTAGAAAATGAAAGTAAGTTATCAATCCATCTGAAGTATATATTTTCTGTTGAAAATTTGCAGTAAAGAAAAAAAATTGCACCGAGGAACAAATAGTATACCTAATGCACATTGAACAACCTTGTGAATGAAAGATGGGCTTTATGAGTTTTATTGTTTAGTCACCCAAAACTCACCTAGAAACACCTATCTAAGCACATTAAGTGAGAAAAAGGATGGGCATCTGGGTGCTTCAGTTGGTTAAGGGTCCGATTTTGGCTCAGGTCATGAAGTTTGTGAGTTTGAGCCACAATGGGCTCCATGCTGACAGTGCAGAGCCTGCTTCAGATTCTTTCTCCCTCTCTGGCCTTCTCCCACTCATGCTGTTTCTAACTCAAAAATAAGTAAAAACATAAAAAGAGAAAAAGGAAACTTCATGTTTAATGAAAGGAAAATGAGTTTTAGTGTTAAGACAGATTAAAATCTCAGCTCCCCTCTCTGAGACCCAGTGTTCTTCTATTAAGAACTCAAGTGAGGTAAGCTTAATATCTGGCATAAACACATAAAGTAGGTCATCAATGGCTATTTTTTTAAATTACTTAATTTAAATGTTTATTTATGACAGAGAGACAGAGAGAGAGAGAAACCCAAGCAGGCTCCCTGCTGCCAGCACAGTGTCCGATGTGGGACTTGAACCCACGAACTGTGAGATCATGACCTGAGCCAAAACAGAGTCAGACACTCAACTGACTGACCCACCCATGAGCCCCAATGTTTATTTATTTTTGAGAGAGAGAAAGAATGTGCACACACAGGGGAGGGGCAGAGATAGGGAAAGAAAGAATCCCAAGCAGGTTCCTCACTGTCAGCACATAGCCTGACATGGGGCTCTATCACGAACCATGAGAACATGACCTGAGCTGAAATCAAAGTCAGACGCATAGCCGACTAAGCCACCCAGGCAACCCTCCCCCACTTTTTTTTTAAATGATCAAGAAAAGACTATAATAGATGTTTCAATTTGTTATAATAAACGAAAAAGCTTAAGTGAGGGGCACCTGGGTGGCTCAGTTGGTTAAGTGTCCGACTTCAGCTCAGGTCATGGTCTCAGGGGTTCGTGAGTTTGAGCCCCACATCAGGTTCTGTGCTGATAGCACAGAGCCTGCTTCTGATCTTCTGTCTTCCTTTCTCTGCTCCTCCCCTGAGCTTGCACACGTGTGCACTCTCTCAAAAAATAAACATTAAAAAAGTAAGCTTTAAAAAAAAAAAGTAGGGGTGCCTGGGTGGGTCAGTCAGTTGGGCGTCCAACTTCGGCTCAGGTCATGATCTCACAGCTCATGGGTTCGAGCCCCGCGTCGGGCTCTGTGCTGACAGCTCAGAGCCTGGAGCCTGCTTCGGATTCTGTGTCTCCCTCTCTCTCTGCCCCTCCCCCACTTGTGCTCTGTCTCTGTCTCTCAAAAATGAATACATGTAAAATAAATAAATAAATAAATAAATAAATAAATAAGCAAGCAAGCAAGCAAGCAAGCTTAAGTGAAAGTAGTATTAGGAAGATAAAGAAATATCCAAAGTACTACATAAGAAGGAATAATAAGTAGTGTACTTTGTCTGATTCTATGAGGCCACATGGTCAGTATTTTTTTTTTTTTTTTACCTTCCTGTGGGTATCTATCTGCATCATTCTTTTCTCCAGACAAGATTTCTCTGCATCTACATGTACAACATAGAAAATAGCTATCCTAAACCTAGAGCTTTCATTTCCCAACTTCAGCACCAGTACCATTTACAAATGACCAATGTCTCTGGGTCCTTATTTCAAATTCCTAGAGTAGAAAGCCTAATTTGCTTAGCTTAGGTGAGGTATTCATTCTTGATCCCATCACCTGGGAATGATATCTATCACACACGATAAAAATAAGGATACAAGGTCCCACTCTATGGGGAGAGAAACAGAGGCTGGGCACAAATCAGTAAGTGTCTATTACAACATTATTTTGCAAAAGCTTACGTTCCAGAAGTTTCTATAATGAAGGAATATCCTCTCATTTATTCCAAGGTATGATTAATAAGACATGGTATGATTACAAGACATCTAAAATGAGCATAACATTATGAGACTTTATTTTGGTCCCACTGCCCATCTTTTTGTGTAAACGACAATGCCTGGCTTTAGCATATTCTTTGGTACACACATTCTGTTTTTTCAGGAAGTTCTTTTAACATGTATTTGATAAAGAATATCTAAGTCTACTCACCATATCATTTTGTCACTGGAAAGGCAGAAGTGACCTCTCAAGGCAGCCAGAGCAGCATGGGTAGAATACAAATGGAAACCAATGGGAATCCCACAGGAAGTACAGAATAAAAGGTTGTAAATGCTAGAGGAAAAAATGGAATATGGGTAAGAAAAAAAATCAGAGAAGAAATATAAAATAACCAGTCTCTGGAAACTATGTCTCCTAAAAACTATGCTATAATAGGACCGAGCCTGAAGAAATGTCACATTCACAAAAGGTTAACTCAGGTTTTAATAAAACTACATCCTAGATTACAGATTCTCTTGTGGATTCTGGCCACAAAAGCAATTATGGATATATAATTGTCAGTTCAATAGAATAATTTACATTTGAAAAGCAGAAAAAGAGCTAACTAATCAGATTAATATTTAAACATATAAAACTATACATGACCAGGGGCGCCTGAGTAGCTCAGTAGGTTAAGCCTCTGACTCTTGATTTCAGCTCAGGTCATGATAGGATCTCAGGAGCCTCGGGCTCTGTGCTGACAGAGGAGAGCTTGATTGGGATTCTCTCTCTCTCTCAAAAATAAATAAACAAAAAACCCCACAAACTACACATAACCATACAAATTAGCTACCATCAAACCAATTTCCAGTATAAGGAAAATAATTAAATTGATTGGGGCTTACTAAACAATTAATAGAACTCAAATCAAGAATTTTCTTATGCAGATATAACAAAAAATTAACTTAAAAATACCCAGACAAAATGCCAATAGAGCGGGGCGGGGGAGAAATCCTATTACCCTAGCCAAGGCATCTATTTTTTTTTCTTTTTTTTTTATCCTCTGAAAGATTACTGGATGAGGAAACAGTTATACCACTTGGGTAAGTCATTAACCATATTTGCTGGTGTGTAAGACATATTCAAATAATACAAAGAAATGTTTTAAGAAAAAACTAAGTGTGTTTCATCATGCATGTACTGAAAACAATTTTTTTTAAAATTTTTTACTTATTGGGGTTCCTAGGTGGTTCAGTCAGTTAAGCGTCCAACTTTTGATTTCAGCTCAGGTCATGATCTCAGGGTCATGGGCTCGAGTTTCATGTTGGGCTCCACACTGGGCACAGAGCCTGCTTAACATTCTTTCCCTCTCCCTCTACTGCGTGTGTTTTCTCTCTCAGTCTAAAATTGATTTATTTAAGTAGTCTCTACCCCCCAATATGGGGCTTGAACTCACCACCCCAAGAGCAAGAGTCACAAGCTCTTCCAACTGAGCCAGCCAGGCACCCCTTGAAAATAATTTTAAAGTAGCTTGATACAGGAAAAAATTATTTTTGTAAACATAATATATTATGCAGTAAAACTGCATTAATAGAGTATAAAAATCACTTGACTAAAAAAAATTCCTGTCAACGGACACTAAAAAAAATAAACGTAATATCCCAAATTCATTGGTAAATTAAGTCCCATACCACACATGTAGTACTGTATATTTGTGAGTATAGTAACCAAAAAGCAAGCCATGAAATAAAGTTGCATCAGGGCACATGGGTGCCTCAGTCGGTGAAGCATCCAACTCTTGATATTCAGCTCAGGTCATGATCTCACAGTTCATGAGTTTGAGCCCCACATTGGGCTCTGCGCTGGCAGTGCAGAGTCTGCTTGGGATTCTCTCTGTCCCTCTCCCACTTTCTCCCTCTCTCTCAAAATAAATAAATAAACTTAAAAAAAAAAAGAAAGAAAGTTGCATTAATTTAAATTAATTCCTATGCAGGAATTAATGGTATCAGACAAATCACAGTACCTATAGAAAAATGTCTCAGAGAAACTAATATATGGGACAGAGCAAAATGTGAAAAAATTCCCAAAATATGCTTGTGTGTGCAATATAACATATTTCATTGAATATTAGTCTGCTAATGGCTCAAGTCCTTCAAAATGAAGGTATGCATTACCACACCAAAGAACTATGACCAGCTGAGTGCTTGCTGAAGGCAAGGGGATATATATGGGTAGTGGAAGAAGTTAGTTATAAATATCAGCTATGACCTAGTAACCAGTTACAGAGATGAGGACTGTGATTGTCATGAGTATGTCTGTGTTTTTGCATGTTTATCTCTTTTCTTCTCTCTTATTCCCTTACTGTGTAACATAAGATCATACTATTATATCATACTATATCAAACTATTTATTATTAATTTTACTTTACAGTATAAATTATGAGATATCAAGGAGAAATGTAAACATCACTCAAGGACTTTATTTCCTCTTCCAGAGAAGGGATTAGTATGTTTTCAGTTGTATGCAGGACAGTTGTAACATGTTAGAATTATGACCTTGGTATTGTCTTTATTTGCAGTCTCGTATGGTTTTAGGAAATGCGTGTGGCTGCCAAGTTAACAAGTGATAGTTACATTTTATGTGTCCACTTAACTAGGTCATATGGTGCCCAGTTAGGTCAAATACTCTGAACGTGTTTGTGAGAGTGTTTTTGAATGAGATTAACATTTGAATCAGTAGACTGATTTGGGATGGCCCTCATCTCATCAGCTGAAGGTCTGATGAATTAGAACAAAAAGGCTAACCCTTTCAGGAATAAGGGGAAACTCCTCTTGTCTGACTGATTTAAGCTGGAACATTGGTTTTTTCCTTAGCCTTTGGACTTGAACTGAAAAGTAGGCTCTTCTTCTGTCCAGACCCTTCTGGCTTTTGGACTGGAAGTTACACCTTTGGCTTTCCTGGTTCTCAGGCTTGTGGACTTGGACTAGATCTAAACCACTGGCTCTCCTGTGTCTCCAGTTTGCCAACTACAGCTCTTGGGAATTCTCACCCTCCATAATCACAGGAACCATTTCCTGATAATAAATCTCTTCCTACCAAGTCCCATGGCTCTCCTTATTCTAAAAGTATACAAACACATGGGAATTTCCCTCCAGTGTTTTCTAAACCATCTACATCAGTACTGCCCAAAAGGGACATAATGTGAGGCACATAAGTAATGTAAAATTTTCTATTAGTCTTGTTAAATTCAGGGGAACAGGTGAAATTAGCCTTAATACATTTTATGCTACCCAATATATCAAAAATATCATTTCAACATGTCATATTTTTAAACTATTAATTTTTTTGTATTAAGTCTTCAAAATCTAGTGTATATATGCACTCATAGCATTTCTCAATTCAGGATGGCCACATTGTAATGGTCACAGTACTGGATACCATGTGCCTAGATGCCTTCTCCTACTTTAAGAAGATATTTGGAGAACATCTGCTTCTGGCCCCAAATGACCCAATTCCAAGCAAGCCACCACTCTTTTCCTACCTGTTCCCTTTAGGTGGGAAGAGGACACTCTGGTAAGTATCTTTCAATTGGGAAAAGGGAGCTGCAAAGCTCTTTCCAATTACTGGGTAAAGTAACAATTCCCGTACTTTAACCCAAAAACTGAACCAAACTGTGGTCAGAATGAACTGTCTTGCCGTTAAAGCCAACATTCAAAATTGAGGAGCCTTCTAATAATAAATTATCTGAGTACTTTGTTTTCACTTGTAGATCACAGCAGAGACTGGATGCAAAGTTTACCCTGCAGTATTCAAGTACATAACATTCAACTTGTGTTTTTCCCCAGGTTCCCAGGTTACAGAAGAATTAGTCCTGCCATGGCTTATTACGAACTGCAGATTAAATACAAATTTAAAAGTTTTACTTATCTCAAAGGATTGTAGTTTATAGTGATTCTCGCTACACACCAAAAGGTACTTTTCTCCCTTTTTCCCTACTGGACATTACTTTCTTAGCCTCACTTCCCTTGCACAAACCACTAGGGAGATGTGGCCCTCAGAAAGATGTTAAAATGTGCACACAACTACAACCAACTTTTCCATTTCACTGACAAGTTCCTCCAAGTCTCAAACAGGTAAAAGGAACATCCCTCAAATACACTGTATGGATAGAATAAACTTTTCTTGTTCCTTTGTGCACGTCGGTTCCCCGCTTCTCCGTGTTATTAATATAGGGGCTAGAAACCAAAGGAGAACTCTCAGTACATACCTGCCTTTGAGCGAACCTTCAATGCCAACTAGGAAGGGAGTTTCCAAAACCACGTTGTTTGTGACTCCTGGGTAAATAAATAAAGGTCAGAATGAATACCTGTGAAGCCTTGAAAAGGAAAACCTACCCGCTACAAACAGATTCACCATGGCCACAAAAAACATGAAAAGTTGCCCCCCACTCTTGGCAAAGGCGTTAATTTCCTTACAAATCTTCACCCCATTTTCTTCACCACCCTGCTCTCAACCATCCCGTGACAAAGCGGGTACACCCTCTCCGCCTTCCTCCTGTCTTCTTCAGACTCCGTCCCCACTCACTGGAGAATACCACGGTCCCGAGGGACGGCGACAGGTCCCAGGCGAGGTGCACAGAGTCAGCGAGTACTGCATGGCACTGTGCACACTGGAACACGGCGCACCTCTCGGGCTGCAGCCATGACGGCAGCTGCGGTCTGCATGGCTGTTCCTCCGCCCCCAAGCCTGCGGGGCCAAGCGGCGAGGACCCGTTCACCACCTGCGTGTCCCACTCCATAGAAGTTGTACAAGAGAGTTCCTCAGTTGAATTCTTGGCGCCATCACAAACGTTACCCTGCGACAGCATCGCATAAAGTGAGTGACAACGCCGCCTCGGCCGAGCGGCCATCTTTCTGCAGCCCCCGCCTCAGCTTCGAACAGACACTTGACCACGCCCACACACTGTTCCTGTATCCTCATTGGACACCGTGAGCCGAGGCTTTGCCCTGCGCACGCTTTCTGGACACGCCCTTCGGCGCCAAAGTGGTAATGAGGGGTGGGGGAAAATCGCAGGCCTCCTGGGAGGGGAATCTTCGTTTCTATTGGTCAACGCCAGGAGACCCCGCCTTCAAGACATTTTTAACCAATAGAAGTACAGCATTTTCAATTTAAACTCTCTATAAAGTTCGGTTTTGTCAACGCTCAAAGTGGCGCCAGAGCTTTGAACGGCGCTGTTTAGTTTAGAGTGTCCGTGCTATCCAGGTCGCTTGGATGCAGCTCGACATGACTGTACCCTCCTTTGAGGAGCTGGACACCTTCAAATACAGCGACCTGCAGAATTTGGCCAAGAGTCTGGGCCTCCGGGCTAACCTGAGGGTACGTAGCAAGTAACCCGCGGGGCAGGTTGAGCGTTCTCGGAGAGGTGGTGGGAACAGACCGAACGGGAACCTCGGGGAATGAGGCAGCTGTCCCTCCAGCTGGGCAAACGGAGAGGGAGCCATAGTCTTCACCTTATTTTGAGGCTGACTTTTCTGGGGGCTCACATAGGCCTTGACTTCGCAAGCGTTTGTTTGTTTTGGTTTTATTGGACGTACTCTGGAATTTTGTCTCCGAGGCTGTGAAATGTTGAGGGGGAACTGTGCGGATTCATTTTGGGAGTGGGGTTTATATATTCTTCGGTGGAGTTTTCACACAAAATTCTTAGGGTACTCGAGATTTGTTCTGCAGGGTGTGGGTGTGGTATTTACAGAGTGAATGCCTAAATTAGGTATTACAAATGCTTTTAAGTGATTAAAACAAAATAATTAGTGCCCAGGTACTTGTTGGGGCTTAATTAAATAAAGGAGTGTCTTTGGAGATATTTCTGAGCTTTAGTCTTTAATGGCTCCCCAATACTATTTCATAAAGCCTTAATTCTTTACCTTAAATCCCATCAGCTTTCTGCATTCTAGCTGGAATCTTATCCAAGACAGCATCCAAACTGTACTGGTCTCTGAACACCTGACACCTTTGTCCATCTTTCTGTCTTTGCTAATTTTGATCCTTTGGCCCCATATCCCCTTGTCTTTCCCTCTTCTTTATTTGCATTAATAACTTTCAAATGCTCTTCAGAGTCCATCAGAAATATCACTGACTTGGCACTTCGTCTCCTCCTCTTCAGTTCCTTGGCCATAGGTCCACTACCCCAGTAATTCCAGGAACTCTGTGTGCTTTTAACGCAGTTTAATTTCAAGTACTCTCTTTGAGCACTTTTAGGCTTTCACCTCTGGTTATTTGTGTATTAAATTATCTTCACTAAAAGTTAAATTCCTTGAACAAGAATCTCATCCATGTTCCTTGGAAGTCTTACAACACTAAGCACAGTGCATTTTATATAGGAGATGCTGAATAATTATTTTCAATCACTTCTTGGCAGTGCTAGATTAATGCCCTAGAGGGTGGCAAGAGAGTTACAGTGGAGGCTTGCTGAGTTCAGAGCTCTGGATGACATTAAGGCCCCACAACCATTTGGATCTCTAAAGAGCTATTCCAAGAGAGATAGATTCCTAAAAGCCTCACCTGTAGTCTCTTGAGGCACCTAATCTGCATTAGCTGATTAGTCACCTGTTTTTATAGAGTGGCATAATAAAGTATTTCAGGCCACCACAGACCCCATTGCCTTTCTAGCACACAGTATCTGGCACATAGTAGGTATCAATAAATAGATTTTTTAAATTTTTTAAAATGTTTATTTTTGAGAGAGCGAGAGCACAATCAGGGGTGGGAGGTGGGGCAGAGAGAGAAAAGAGAATCCCAAGCAGGCTCTGCACTGTCAGCACAAAGCCACATTTGGGGCTCAAGCCCACAAACTGTGAGATCACAACCTGAGCAAAAGTCACACACTCAACCGACTGAGCCACCAGGCACCCTAAAATTTTAATTTATTTTTTATTTTAGACAGCAAGCAGGGGAGAGGGGCAGAGGGACAGAGAAAGAACCTTAAGCAGGCTCCATGGTCAGCACGGAGCTGGATGTGGAGCTCAATCCCATGACCCTGGGATCATGACCTGAGCCGAAATCAAGATTCAGATGTTCAACTGACCCAACCACCCAGGCACCCCTCAATAAATATTTCTTGAGAGGTACTGTTTCCCCAAAGTTGACCACACACTACTTGATTATAACCAACTATAAAAAGAGACTTTTGAGACAGTTGACGAAAATTAAACTTGGACTAGGTATTAAGATATTGTTAATTTTTTGGAGTATTATGGTATTGTTATGTTCCCCCCTCTTTTTTTTTTTTAATTTTTTTTTAACATTTATTTATTTTTGAGACAGAGAGAGCATGAACGGGGGAGGGTCAGAGAGAGGGAGACACAGAATCTGAAACAGGATCCAGGCTCTGAGCTGTCAGTACAGAGCCCAACGCGGGGCTCGAACTCATGGACCGCGAGGTCATGACCTGAGCCGAAGTCGGCCGCTTAACCGACTGAGCCACCCAGGCGCGCCCCCCCCCCTTTTTTTTTTAAGGCCTTCTCTCTTGTAATACATGCCAAGTACTTACAGGTGAAATGTTATGACACCTGGGATTTGCTATAAATATTCTAGGACAAAGAGAGGGTAATAAGATGAAGTAAGAACAACAGAATGTTGATAATTGTTGAAACTGGGTGATAGATACATGGGAGTTCATTAGACTATGCTCTCAACTTTATATGTGATTGTAACTTCTTATAACTAAAATGTTTTAAATTATTTACAATTTGTACAGCCTAGGAGCTTGTTAAATCAGTTGGCTTTTTAAGTTCAGAGTATATAAGCAAAATATGAACAAATTGCTCTAAGCAGTGATCAAGATTAGATGATCATTTTGATGATTTAAAAAACTTTTTTAATGTTTATTTAGAAAGAGACTGTGTGTTCAAACAGGGGAAGGGCGGAGTGAGAGAGAGAGAGAGAGAGAGAGAGAGAGAGAGAGAGAGAATGAATATCCCAAGCAGGCTCTGCACTGTCAGCGCAGAGCCAGACAAGGGGCTCGATCCCATGAACCTTGAGATCATGACCTGAGCTGAAATCAAGAGTCAGATGCTTACCCAAGTGAGTCACCCAGGCAGCCCTTTTTTGATTATTTTAAAACACTAAACAGAATAAGATTTAAATAAATTCCATCAGAATGGTAACATTCAAAATAAATTTAGAAGGAAAAATCTTAGCCCTTTTTTTGTGGTTTACCATTGAGAGTAGTGTCTCAATGAAGGAGTCAGTTACTGGTATTTACTGTGTGGGCACTGGTCCTTCTCACTCCTGCCCTGGCTTTCCTGCTCACAAACAAGCCTAGATTACAAAGACTGGCGCCATCTGCATTCTCTTGTAGCTCCCCTTCATCTCCTGCCCAAATTCCAAGCCTGATTAAACCTGGCTAGGTGCTTAATCTTTGTACCTAACCAGCCGACCCTGCCTGGAGAAAATCCCCTGACTTTGCTGACTGAACTTAAATTTATGACCATAAATCATAAAATGAGCATTTGATTCCCCTATACTCCCTTGGTAGTCATTAACTTCTCTATTTTTGAGGACCATTATTTCATATCCTCTCACCTCAAATTGGCTCCCTTCCCTCACTTGACTTTTCCTCATAGGTCATGGAAAAATAGACACAATCAGCTAAGAATTACCTCCTCTTTCCAGTATCAAACTATCCAGCCATCCCGCGCCTGTCCCCAATCCCCAAGAACTCTGCCTTTGTGTGAGGGCAGCCTTGCCATTTGTGCTGTGGATCCTGTTCCCTCTTCCAGGGCTATGTGCCTGCAGTTAGCTCCTCTCTCCTATATCAGTTTCTTCCACTCTGGTTGCTCATTTCGATGATATATGCAATCAGGTCTTAATATCCCCCATCTTAAAATAAAACAAAGCTCTCTCATGAGCCCTTGTCCTTCATTTGCTGCCTGATTTCTCTGTTCTGTTTCACTGTAATTGCTGTTACCAAGGCCACCATGCTCTGCACCTTACCAAGCATACAGTTCATCTCTATCTTCCTCTGCTGTTTGGCAGGATCTAATGTTCCTTTTTCCTTAAACCACTTCTTTTGTAGGCTTATTTGATGTTAAGTTTTTTCCTATCTTACCAGCACTTCCTTCTAGCCTTCTCTCTTGCTTCTTCCTCTGCTAAATTTCTAAACGCAGAGTGCCCCAGAGTTGTGTCTTTTCTCTAACTATGCTTTCCCCCAGGTGACCTTATCCACTATCATAACTTTAAATTCATATTGAACTGATGACTCCATATCTCTGGTTGGACCTCTCTCCTGAGGTGCTGACTCCTATCTTTAAGTGCATCTTAAACAGCATGGCCACTTCAAAACAATTAAGATCTCTTCCCAGTCTCAGTACATGATTGAGACCCACATTAGAACACTCTTTTAATATACATCCAAATTAGTTAGCATATAGTGCAACAATGATTTCAGGAGTAATTCCCTAATGCCCCCTACCCTTTTAGCCCATCCCTCCTCCCACAACCCTTCCAATAACCCTCTGTTTGCCTCCATATTTAAGAGTCTTTTATGTTTTGTCCCCCTACCTGTTTTTATATTAATTTTGCTTCCCTTCCCTTATGTTCATCTGTTCTGTATCTTAAAGTCCTCATAGGAGTGAAGTCATATGATATTTGTCTTTCTCTGACTAATTTTGCTTAGCATAATACCCTCCAGTTCCATCCATGTTGTTGGAAATTGCAAGATTTCATTCCTTTCCGTTGCCGAGTAATACTCCATTGTGTGTGTGTGTATGATATATATTTACATATGTTTATATAAATATATATACTTTATATATAAAATAAATAAATAATTTATATATATAAATATATACAAATCATTTATATATAAATATTACATATTTATATATAATTTTTATATACACATTTATATATTTTATATATATTTATATATTATATA